GAACAAATCCTGAGCAAATAAAAACCATAGAACAAATCCTGAAAAGAATCCTGAGCAAAATCGGAATGATTAAATGATTAAAAAATCCTCGAACAAATCCTGAGAAGAATCCTGAGCAAAATTAAATCCCCAAATGATGATATCCCAAATCCTACCCAGAATGGTAAATAACCTATAACTGGATTTCCAGTCCCTAGCATGCAAAAAATCTTAAAAGCTTAGTGCTTGCTGTTCAGTTTTTGGCTGTGCACTCGGCAAAGTCTTCCCGTTAACCGGCCCGAACCTCCGGGTCCGCCGGTTATCCGCATTCCGATCCATAGTTTGCTGGGTGCCGGCCCTTCTGACCGTCGGTGCGTTTTGAGCCATCTGAGAAAATAATGCATGCGGTCCATGCTTGTCATGCTTCACATAACGCAAACCGATCGTAACGCCAATGTTAGCGGAGGAACAGGCAGCGAATGGTTTGTTCTGCATGGGGTCTCTGTTTTTCCAAACATGGCATGGCATGGTACAATTGAGATCCGACGCTTCGGAACGGTTCCGTTTTGCTTGAGGCTCTTCGTGGATAGGGTTTCTGACAATACCCTAACGCTGCCAGTCAAAAGCTCGTTCCGCGGGATTGCTCCCCCCGCCCCCGCCCCTCCCCCGCACCAGCACGGATCCCGCTCATCCTCTGGCCCAGAAACAGGTCGGGCTTGGGTCCGCTCCTTACCGCCCTGGCCAGGAGGCAGCTGGGATTGATTGCTTGGTTTGCAACGCGGGTGCCATGACCCAGAAAAAGACGCTCACAGCAGAAGGGCACGAGGTGGGGTGCGCGCGAACTTTGTACGGGACACAGTAAGTCTTGGGGAGAGTCAAACTCGCTTGCCCTGGAGGTCACGTTTGCTACACACCTCCTCCATGGCACGTACCTTCTGACAGAACAGTTGAGACCTGTTCTGGGCCGGAAGGCTGCCTCCGTGCATTGGCACTTTAGCCTATGTGCACAAAACGCAGAGAACTCACAGACGTTTGCATGTGCAGGAAGGTGCGCGAGTGGTGGTGGTCAGCTCTGGTGGTGTCCCACGCGGCAGAGTCAGAGGCTGTTTTTATCTGTACGAGGTGCAGGAAGTTTCTCGTCCGTCATGTAGTAACGTGCTGGTCTGGTTGTGAACACATTTCCGTTTATATGAGGTATGCTGAACGTGAAGTACAATCACAATTTGGCCACTGGCAAGAAAGGGTCTTACGACCGCCAGCTGGCCTATGCATACGCAAAGCGGGGACAGGCAGCGCGTCACAGTCTTCCGTGAAGTCGCTGATTTGTGCTTTCGAAGCGCCCTGACTCCGGCCCTGCGAGGTGCTGCTGTGCGAGCACTGGGCAAAACAGCCTGGGGAAGCTTGGGATTGCAGAAGTAGCAGTCATATCCTTTGCTCGCAGACGCTACAGATTAATTGTAGAATCTTGTAGTTGCGTGCAAAAGCCCTTGCGCTCAAACTGTTAGTCCATTGAGCTTCCCTTTGAGGAGCAGATTGTCTTTGCAAGCTGTCACCCTGGATGGACAGATACTCCCGGTTCGGAACTCGGCAACATGAACATGGCAAGACAATGTGGAACCTGACAACTTCCGAGCTACCCTGAACCAGAAGCATACCAAACCCTACGGAGACCTAGCCATGGGCCATGATTATTGGAGGGTGTCTAGGTCTCCCAAATCTTTAGGTGTGGACCACGCCTACGGCTCCATGAAAAAATGGCTGGAGCCCATGCGGACCAACTGGGAAGGCGCTGAAGGCATCTGCTGGCTCTGCGTCGCTCCAAGGGAGCAGACACCGAGCTGCAGTGATCGAGCAACGGATTGTAGGATCTGTGAATTCGGGCGTGGGGTTCTCGACTGAGGATCGAATCCGGTGCTTTTTACCTGGACCGGAAGCCGCAGGCCAAGACCATCGCATCATGGACGCTTTGCGCTTACCGGAAAACAGTCGTGGTTTGAGTCTCCTGCTGGCCTCTTCTTCTCTCCATATTGCTCAGGTCCAACACAGAGAAGGATGTGGACGACATGGCGCGCTGATGGATAGTAATTGACTACTTCTTAATAACCATCCACATTCAACCTTGCCCGTGCAGTTACGCACTGATTATCCAAGTTTTTGTCAGAGTCCTCGTGACTAAAATATGACGCAAGGTGGCTGCGCTCCAGTCCCTGGCCCCAGCAAGTGGCGGCAGTGAGTGATCTTTGGGATCCTCCCACTGCCTCGTGTTTCGGCCGAAGGACTCCAGTGACTCGCCTTGCAAAAGTAAGGATTCAACGCCTAGGTGCAGCATGGCAGTAATGCGTTTCACCGGTCCACACTCCTAATTTTCGGATCTCCGCTGACGGCTTGCACCGCAGATATCTCAGGGCAGAATTAGTCACAAGACCCTTTTGCAATGCCCCTCGACGCAGTCCTGATTGGAAGTGCAACTCGATTTTCAACTCTCGGCCAGTAATAGTTATCACCGGCGCAAGCAATGGTCTGCAGCATTCCCATCCAAATTTGGTGCACACTTTACTCTTGGAGGAGCCAGTGCAACATGCTCGGATCAGCGACCAGCTGTTGAATCCGATTGCACATCCTTCTTGCGAGTCCCCTGCACACTGTGATCGCTTGCGTGAAAAGTGTGAATCCTGGTTCACGACGACATCTTGGGCACAACTGTTCATGCCCGACTGGAAAAATACGTAGACGTAGTTCGACAGATCATTTCAGCAAGGTGTCCGACTTTGCGGATGCCATTGTGGCGATGCTTGATGCGGACGGGCTGATGTCACTCCAGCATCTGTCTTTACTTTCTCTGTTGAACTTGCCTCATGCAGGAGCGCAACCTCAGACTTTGGCTCTGTATCTACCCTGTCGTGCCACACCGAGACAAAAGTGAATTTGCTTGCTGTATTGTGTACGGCACTCCTCAAGTACGCTTCAAGATCAGGTACTGCTGATGCGGTTGTTCAAGTCTTGCTCCCAGCTCGCTTGCACTCGGGCACCACCATCACGTAGTTATGTGTACTCCAATCATTGCACGCTAACCTTCATCGTGGTTTGCTGGCAGTGCGACCCTTGTAACGAAGAACACTGGCAATGAACAACAGAGCAGCCAATGAGAGGTAACCGTGCAAATCTCTGACAACAGAAAGCAGTCGTCGCTGTCGTCAACACAGTGTCACACAGCCGTCATGTATGATGGACGATCGCTGTCCTGTTTCACCTCAGCTGCAGGTCTTTTGCCGCTCAGAAGCGCCTAGCCATTGCAACTTGACTGAAAAGGACTGTGCATCAGTCATGCCGTACTATCTTGACACGTAGTGATCGACCCGACTGTTCAAACTTTCCCACGCTCAATCCAAGCAGGAATGAGTCGGATGTGTATATATAGATATAGCTATATACAGATGTATGTGTGTCTCGCTGTCTGGGTGTGTGTGTGTGTGTGTGTGTTTGTGCCACGTGTTCATGATTTCACCGCCTTTCTGAACGGCCTTTGGGTCCAACATGTCTTTCACATGTCTCTGGCGAGGGGCTCTGGGAGCCTAACTGGGACCAGAGCCAGCGAAGACGCCCAGTTTCATTCAGCCTGTGAAGCAGGGTTGGACGCATCCTTGCGTACCTGCACAAAAATGGGCCCCTGCGCCAAGATCAGCTAACCGCCCTTGTGCCAAGGATCAGGTAGCAGTTTTCTCACCACATTTATACACGATTGCCGAAATCTCAGAGCTAGATTAGACACGCTGAGCACGCTAGGTTAGACACGCTGAGCGCTTTGTCATTTTCTTGACATGAGGGCATATGCAGACACGCACCTTCAATTAACGACCTTAGACGTCTTCCACATCAAGCTTGGGTCTCGCCGCCTGAATCCGACTTTGTTTGACACGGTTGTGTGTGCATTCGTGCGTGCTCGCGTGCGCTATTGTGGTGGGGGCGACGACAACTCCCACCATCTCGGCTGCAGCTGCTTGTGCTGACTGCCACCACTACCGGGTCACTACCGCTACTGCCACCGCTGCTGCTCCTACTGCTACGACTACTACGACTACTACGACTACGACTATTAC